CGGAAATTTAATTTTATATATGATAATAAAAAAGAAAAAAAAAACCGATAACTGATAATTAAAGATAATATTTTATCTATTAAATGGCTCTTAATGCATTTTCTTTTTTTCTTCTCAATGCAATTTTTTAATTTCTACGATATATATAATAACAATAAATTGGAAAGATACATTTGACCAAATAACGTTAATAAAAATCGTAGTTTTTTTCTTTTCTTTTCTTTTTTTTTTATTTCGTGTCGTAGAAAAAAATTTGTAGGATAATTTTGCGATCTTCTGTACGTCGTTTAACTATTTTAAATTACAAAATACTTAGCGCATTCGCGAGTAAACTTTCTTATTGTCGTAATACGAAGGATTTACGTAACACCATGTCTGGGTCCTCTAAGTAAACATATTTTTTTTTCTTATTTTATTTCTTTTTGACCCTCCGCCCTCGTCCCCCAGTCCGCCTGCTTCCCTCCTTTTTTCTCTCGATGATTCTTCTCTCTAACATCAAGATAGCCAATGTGTTGTGCGCTTGACATTTCGATCTTCGCGTTTCTCTCTCTCTCTCTCTCTCTCTCTCTCTCTCTCTCTCTCTCTCTCTCTCTCTCTCTCTCTCTTTCTCTCCAGAGTTTCTTATTCTGCTAAGACATATGCGGGCACACCCAGCTGTCCATAATAATAATGACTTGTTAGTATATAAAACCATCATGAGACTTTGTTATAGCTATACGTTTTTTTCTTTTTTTTTTGTATTGCTTAAAGAACAAGATGTTTTTTTTAATTAATGCTAATCAGTGATCGTATTCTTTGACTTCGATCTCTTGCTCGGTTTCCTTTTTTGTTTTTTTATTTTTTTCCATAAAAAAAAAAAAAAAAGGAAAAACAAACCAGCAACTTACAACAGATTTGTTACCGTTGGTTATATAGTCCAAGTCGTAAATCGATAAATTAAGATTGAACAAAACAAGTGTAATAATGAGTATAATTGTTATCGAAAGAAATTGCTTCTTTTCGATAATTCGTCGTTCGAGAGGATAAGCCGAAGAGATTATAACTTTCTTCCTATCGTCAATATGTTTACGCGTTTCTTGTGTTGAATCAACGAGATCAGAAATATCTTTGTTCGTTTTCTTTTATATATATATATATATGATTTATGTTTTTTTTGTTTTTTTTATCTATTATTAGAACAATTTGTGCAAATATAAATATGAAGTTTGTAGATATTGAAAATATTTTTCTCCCTTCTTCGTGTTTCGTTGTATCTGTGGATTTTCCTCGAAAAGGGCCCTTTTAAAACATATCACGGTTTCTATGAAAGATCCACATTTAGGTCGGCCAACGCAACAAATATTTTTATTTGGTTGAAAATTCACGTCACGATTCTACACGGTTTGGTTGAATTTTTCTCAATAGAATTCTGATTAAGATATTCATTTGACATCGGATCTCAATTTAATGCTAAATTTATTGGAAGGGAATTGAAAATAAAATAATAATTATACTACTTTTTTTTTTTTTTTTTTTTACAATTCTTCCCTTACGTTTAATCACAATATCGCGGATAATAATATCTATTTTTTGTCGGTTTGTTTTTTCATTCCTTTTCTTTCAATTGAAATTGTTCTGTTAGTATTTTAAGGTTTCTATGACGTTGATTAATTTATTTGTTTATGTATTTACGAGAATTGTTGTTCCATTTGTTGTTTGATAATCAATCGTTAACGACGAATGAGAATTTATTCGAACGACGAAACATGTTTATTATTTCCATTTTACAGTAGGAGAGAGACATTTTGCCATCTTCGATGGAAATCAAAGGACGTTCATCGATAAGATTTTTATCATTGTTAGATAATTATTGTACACCACATCGTGTATAGATTAACGTTCAAATATTATAGATTTCTTTTCGTTTGAAACAATATATCGTAAGATAAATATCGTTAATACATTTAACATCGAAATATATATTTGGAATATGAGATTTAATAAAATTGATTGGTAAATGCCCTGTTGAAATAAGGAAAAGGGACGATCATTATATTTTGATTAAATAATACATAAATAATTTTATTTCAAATATTCTTAATCTTACGAAATATAATGATTTAATTTGTTACGTTTTCTTTTTTTTTTTATATATATCTCAAGTCAATACCGATAACTATCACGTATTCGGTTTACTATTACAAACAACACACTATACGAGGCACTCACGATTTCGTAAACACCTCAAAGGGAATTTTCAACAAGAATTTGAAAATGTTTGTCGAGCGAAATGGTGGACAAAATGAGAGAGAGATATCGCGTGTTCCCCGAGGTCAATGTATTTATGCGACTGCTGGTTGGTCGGTTGGTATGCGACAAATAAGAGTTATTCGTTTAGTGATAAAACAGGCTCGTTAAATTTCTTTTTTTAAAAGATGAAAGAGACTCGAAATAGGGACAGGATCTTCAAATCGGATTTTTCCAGTAAACGAATGAATGAATGAATGAATGAATAAATAAATAATGATAATGATGATAATGATAATGATATTATACCTGAAAAATTTTTAGTTGATGTTACGAAGAATATGTGTTAGCTTTTTCAAACGTAAAAACCGTTTTAAAGGGACTTTTTGAAGAATTTAGTCAAACCAGAAATATATTCTATCCAAGTTTATCAGAATTCTCGATAAAAGTAAATGGAAGGGAAAAAAAAGAACAAGAAGTAAAAGCTCGTTAATCCTTCTCCGTAGATCTCTTATCGCGTGGTTAGAATTTCGAAAAGAAAGAAGAGAAGAAGCTTCTTGTTGAGTGATCGTTCTCGAAGTTACAACTCCTCCTCCTCCTCCTCCTCCTCCTCCTCCTCCTCCTCCTACTCTTTCTCCTTCTACCCCACCCCCATCTTCAAAGTTATTCTCGTACGGTAGTTTTGGACGAGGACAAGGAGGTAATAATATTGGTTAGTGTTGGTAGTAGTGGTGATGATGATGATGATGATGATGATGATGATGATGATGATGATGATGATGATGATGATGATGATGATGATGATGATGATGATGATGATGATGANTGATGATGATGATGATGATGATGATGATGATGATGATGATGATGATGATGATGATGATGATGATGATGATGATGATGATGATGATGATGATGACTACGACGATGGTGGTTAGTTGATTGTATTGTATCTTGTGTTGTTGTGATAGTAGTAGTAGTGGTGTGGTAGAAGGAACGCGTACGTTAGGAAGTAAATATATATACATATGTGAGTGCGTGCGTGCGAAATTTTAAAGAGAGAGAGGGAGAGAGAAAAAGCACTGTGCCACACGCGCACGGGCTTTCTGCCAGAAGATGTTGCCAAAGGAAGACCGCTTCTTCTCGGAAGGACGGTACTTTGTTGGCGAGCTTTTCCGAAGATGCAGCCAAATTGCTCTCCACGAGTTAATTCAGTAACACCTGTCTTCGTAGTCGAAACCGTGCCAGCTGATCGAATTCTTTTTTTTTTTCCTTTCTAACAGTAGATTTTTCTCTCTCTCTCTCTCTCTCTCTCTCTCTCTCTCTGTCTTTTTAAAAACGTCATTTTCACAATCTCACGAACGTTAATATTTATATATTTTTTTTCTTTTTCTATAATATACCAAAATCCAATCGTCTTCGTTCGGTTCATCGATCAAATTTTCTTTTTTTTTTTTTTATAAATTCTTGTATATCTTGTTTACTCATAAAAGTGTTAAAGAATTTTACATTGAATAAACTTTTTATTGTTGATCCGAACGAATAAATATTTCGATCACCCCGTCCACGCGTCTTATATCGGTGGTGGTGGTGGTTACCTACGTCCCCTCCCCCTCCCCCAACACTTGGATTCATCGTTTCGTCAGACGGAGAAAGTTGGCGCCAAGCTAAGTGCCTTTTGCGTTCGATTCCACGTGCGACGACGTGTAGGGTTGGCAACCTGTTACAAGGTCATACTCGTGTCGGTCACGGCCACGTAAAAAATTATCCAAACCGATTTTTCATTTTTTTCCTTCTTCTATTATTTTTTATTTTTTTTTTTTTTCTAATAGATTACCAAAGATAATCCAGTATCTTAATTAATTGGAATAATTAATTCGCGTATGCAAGGGCCCACGCGAACGTGTTGTAATCGTTTCTTATTAACAGCACGTGATTTAAAAGACAACTTGTGTGTGTTGTGTTACATTTGCTCGCGTGCAAACTTTACTACTATATTCGCGTCATCTTAATACGCTCACGATCAAATCGCAAAAGTTTAAGGTCGTTTATATCGGCTTAGGGGAACACGCAAAGATTTTGTTTCTTTTCTTCTCTTCACTTTCACAGTTGTATGACGTGTGCGAGACAACACGTTGAAAACAATATTGTCACACACAACTAACATATATCGTAGTATATAAGTCCGCTCGTTTATATATTTGGCAGAGATGATGCAAGGCAAACATCCAATTACGAGAGAAACAAAAAGAAAGGAAGGAAAAAGAAAGAGAGAGAGAGAGAGAGGATTGAATTGACCCGGAAACCTCCTTCCGTCCCTTTTTTGATGTCGTGCAAAAACGAACAAAACAAGAAGATTATGCAATTAATCTAATAAAACGTGCCCCTCAGATATATTCTGTGTGTATTTTTAATAATTTCTTTTTTTCTAACATCAGATCGAAAATTTCCATTTATTTTTCGACAATCATGTCGAATTATTTTTTCGATCGGGGATTACGGATATTTTTTTTCGATAAACCGAAACGATCGAGATATCTCTGGCTATCTAATATAAAACGTGAAAGTTATATATATATATATATATATTATATATATATTTTCGAAGTATGTATTTTAGCGTTTAAATCATCGAACGATTTCCGTCCGATTTATTATCGAGATATTTTTTTTTTCATTCTTTGTTAATCAGTTATATTTGTCTAATTTATTTTCTAGATTAAATAAATTGTTTCGTATGGTTTGTAAAATGTTCTTTTGTTTTTCGTTTACAGACACGTATATTGTTGATGGATGCTTTCCTTCAGAACAACAGATTGGACCATGTCTCCAGGGTAATGTCATCGCATCCTTTGTATTTAGACCACTTCCTTCGAACCCAAAATTTCATCTTAAGGGGCGATGGACCACTACCCTACGATTATAGACATCTTATAGCCATTATGGTGAGTTCAATATTTTTCTTTATTGTCTTTCCTTTAATTTTTTTTTTTTTTTTTCAAATTTTCCCTTTCTCATCCGTTTTTTTTTTTTTTATATATATTCTCATTTCTCAAGTACGTGAATCGTCGCAAAAGTATGCGTGTTGGTGGTGTACGTTCGTCGAAGTTTAATACGTCAAACGTTGATATACGATTAAGATAATGAACAAATATACTTACGTAATTGAGAGAGCAATCTTTTCGAAAGGGTTTCTAATTTTATTCGAACGAATAATAAAAGAGAAAGAACATTCGGATTATCTTGGATAATAAATATATATTTTTCTTTTTGATCGAACAAAGTTTTTTAACGTGGGAGAGAAGAGGGGTGGCATATTCGTTAGGTGTTTCTTTTTTATTAAGACCTTTGTTTCTTCTTTTTCTTTTTTTTTCTTTGTTTTTTTCATTAAATTTTTTACTCCTTGATATAATAGTTGTTAGATAAGCTTTTACGGGTCATTTGTGTTAAAGGTTATCAAGAAATCCGTATGAATGCATCGACAGTTTCATAATATGTGCTAAAGATTAGGTTTGTTCGGTTTCTTGGGATAGTGTATGGTGTTCGGCCGGTTTGATAGAATAAAATATAATCGATGTTTTCTTTGTGAGACGATATACTACATGAGAATGACTTTTTTTAACGAGAAACTCGGTATTTAGAATTATATGTGAAATCGAAAGTAAACGTTTCTCTAGTAACTAGAAAGAAATGAAAAATACTACTATTATTTCTTCTTCTTTGAAATACATCAAATCTACTATACCAATTCGGGTGAATATAATTTACGTGAAACGTGAAAACATTTGTTCTTTGATTTCCCGTATTATTTCCAACTAATTTACGTCAAGTCAAAAGTTATATTTTTGTACATATATATAATATACATTAGAAGTGTATACGAAGTTTCCATTTTCCAAGATAACGATAAAAGAGTAATTTTAGCTCACTGTAGTGTAGTATACCCTTGTCTCTCTCTCTCTCTCTCTCTCTCTCTCTCTCTCTCTCTCTCTCTCTCTCTCTCTCTCTCTC